TTCGATCGCCTGCCAAGAGCACCATATTCAATTTGTCGGTTATCAGTGCAAGCCAAATCGGGAACCGCGGCCTTACATCTGATTTACTAGTAGATTTTGGAAGCGTTGCTTGTGGTCTCACTTGGGTTTGTGTATGGCAGAGGGCTGGGCAGAGGAGCAGGCGGTGGGACTTACTCCACACTTTGCATGTTCGCTTAAAATTTAGATATTTTATTTTTTTGGAAAACTTGCTGTGGTTTTGATATTTTTATTGGCATTGTCAGGTCGTGATAGCTTTATGCTTTGAGCATTGAGTCCAATGGTCTTCTATGCTAATAGCCACAGCGTGATTTCATGTGATGCATTTCGGAAAGGTAAGTGGGTGAGAATTTTCTCTGGTTGCAACTGAAATACGTTTAAGAAGGTATAGGTTGCGGTAAGAAAGCATTCACAATACTACAATTCTACGTTAGATTTACTAGTAGGTGTGTAGGCATGTGCAAAAAATGAACTTGATATTTCCTTTTAAATGCGCCTCATAAGAAACAATGCAACAATTTAATAGAATAGCAGATGAACTGAGCTCCTGGAAGCAAAAGTTTAATGAGCATAGCAAATGCAAAATTGTCGCTCACTCAATATCAACGAAAACTTAGAAAACAAATATCCTCAGACTCTGCCAAAGTTTAAATGTAGATGCTACGAAACTGTCCGTCAAGCAACTCAACTTTAAGTTATCTTTAACAACAAAACAATTTCACTTAAACTTAAACTTAACCGTACATTGCCTGCAAGTTTGTATAACTTTGTTTCATCCTTTATTTCGGAGAAAAAACAATGGTAACAGCATTGATAAAGCAATGTAGCAATCGATATAGGAAGAGTGCTGTGATGTGTGTGTTCGGGCACAACTCAAAAGCATTTCAGACAAACAAACTATGCGAGCAGAAAAACATGTTAGCACATGCATAGACATGCACATATAGATATGTATTAACTTGCACAAGTTTGGTCTTATTTTACTTTTTCCACTTTCAACATTTGTCCTCTCATACATATTTATGTATGTTGGAGCGTGCACGCCAGGGTAGCAATTACCGGTTCACATTTGCACCGACACCAATTCCAGCTAACCACAAATAAAACCTAGTTTAAATAAAGAAAGAACATAATAACGCCAAAAAAAAAACTGAACCCAACTTTTCCTGCATGATTGCTCACGAAGCAAAGTCGACCGCAGTAAGCTCGAAATATGTACAGGAAAAAGGAAAATGAAAGAGTAGACGTATAAATAATAATAATAGATTGGCGCTTACACATATGTTAGTGTTTGGCCGAGCTTCTCCTCCGACTTGTGGCGTGCGCCTTGATGTTGTCACACAAAGCGGAGGGACCTACAGTTTTACGCCGACTCCGAACGGCGATTGTATTTTTATGAGAAGCTGTTTTTCATGGCAGAAATACACTCGGAGGTTTGCCATTGCCTGCCGAGGGACGACCGCTGTTAAGAAAAAACCTTTTTCTATATATTTTGCGATGTTGCTTTGACCAGGGCTTGAACCCAGGTGCTGATGAGTGAAAGCGCGCACTGCTTACCACTACACCACAGCGGCCGACACACAAATACATGGAAACATATGTATGTATTTGGTTGTTACATACATATGCACGCGCAAACATTCTGTTTATATATAATTTTTTTTGTTTTTTTTTTTTAATTTTGTCAATAATAGTTCGGTCGCAGTTTTGTTTCCACAAAGCACATTGCAGGAAAACAGTTTTCATTCAGAATTATCGTCACAGAAGTTAATTTCCTCTCCTCTCCTCTGTATAGAGAGCAAATTGTTCATAAGTTGGCCTACTGAAAAAATTCGTAAATCAATAAGGTCTACTCTCTTTTCCATATTCATAATGTGGGTAATTTCTTAAAGAATATTTATACTTGAGCGAATGGACAGCTATGAACTGTAGCTATAGAAATTACCCCTTCTACATCACTCATACGTGCCGTAGGACACTATAAGCTTCTAGTTTTTTAATGTGACTCATACGCAGCGTATTTCCATATTCGATTGATAAGAGCTTAGTATGTCGATTTTTTTTTTTTTTTTCCTAAAAAATTATGATCAGGGGGAGGCTACATAAAACTCAATTCAATTAAATTTGCGTTTTTAGTTTTTTGCACGCATTCAACTAAACCCGCCATTCGAAAAGTTATAGTAGAGGCATCATATTAATCGGAGCTTCAATTATATCGACAATTTAGGGTTATATAACCTTATGTAACAAATTTCAGACTTTAAGCTTGTTTCCTTATCGTTTATGCTGCAAATCCTGGCATTCGAACCATAGCGCATTGATAGAAATTCTGAGAAATATTGTAAATTTTTTTCTATCATAATATTGCAAAGTATCTTAGCTTAAACCTTTACATGGCTGTATTCCTGAATTCATTTTAAATAAAAGTAGTAAAAGTAGTAGTAAAAAGTAGTAGTTATAAATTCAAAAGTGAGTTTGTTTGTTTGTTACGCTTTCACGCTTTAACAACCCATCATCATGAAATTTTGCACACTGTTGTTATTTAGCTCAATTTAAAATATAGCATAGTTTTAATCACGATTAGACAATGGGGCGTGGCACCTGCCATGCTAGCGGAATTTTTCATACTGCATATCTCTGGAGATATTTATGGTAGAGAACTGGAACTTGGTATGGAGGTATATATAACCAATCCCATACTCCAAGAGAAAATTGGGCGTTATTTTAGAAGGGGCGTGGCACTTCATATACAAAGTTTACTGCCAGAAATATTTTTAATGCAGCTTGCCACCTGTTTGAAAAATGTTATGCAATTAAATTTATAAAACAAATGTCATACTACAATACGGGTATCAAAAAGCACAATAATACTTTAAAGGCGCAGCCAAGCACGCCAGGCTATTTGCTAGATATAATATAAATTAATGTGCAAAATATTTGTACTAAAAAATTGTGTTTTTTTTCGATATTTCGGATTTTCTTTTATTGATGAGTCAAACAGTTTGTATTTTCATTGTCTAACATTTATGGTTGATTCAGGCACACCGTGATCTTACAACGCAACACTTGGTACAATACTGTAGAGCTGAAATACTTACAGTTACGCCAAAAAATTTTCTGTATATTTTATAATAATGCATTTTTTCTTGTGGCCGAGATTAAGGTATTTTCTATACAAAAGTATTTTGTACGTAGTAAAATGAAAAAAAAAAATAAAAAATTTTGAAAAGTAGAAAAAACCTTACCCTATACAAAGACGTTAGCAAGTTTATTTACGTTAGTTAGGTCTTGGGGTTACGCTTTCGATTTTTTCCCCATTGCAAAAAAATAAAAAATCTGTGTAAAGTACTTTCACGTAGCGTTCACCATAACCCCTATAAATTTACATTTTAATAAAAGACGTAAATTCCTTTGCAACTGCTTTCTAGTTGCGCTAAAATAACTTTTCACTAAGACCCATTCCAGACTCACACACCCACAACTACGATGCTGGTGTCATTCGTATAAGAATGACCATTTCCTTGTAACGGTACGAGTATAACGGTCTTTTATGGAATTAAAAGATTAGTTCACTTTGCATCGTTAAGCTTATTAAATTGTTGTATGGCACGTTAAGAGATAGAACTGACAGCAAAAAAGCGCATTGTGCCCGTAAGGTGACAAATTTTGTGCGCAAGAAAAGGATTAAATATCTATGCGAATACGGGCTATGCAGATACATATGTACATATATGTATATAGTAAATGGCTTATAAAAACAAATGCAAAACTGAGCACTGAACTGCAAACTTAAATGTATTTAAAAATATGAAAACATCGAAAAGGGAAAATGAAAGTAATCAGAAAACTTTCATAGTTTCAGGCACATTTTGGTGAGTGGTATTAAATGCAGTGATAATGTTTGCAATAAAAAAAAAAATATTACAAAAGTAAACAACTCTTTTATGGAGAGCATAAATTATTTAAGGTCATAAATGGGGAAGACGAAAATACCACCTTAATACCACCTCGACGACGAGGCCCAGATGCTCCCCATAAGGAGCATAACACAATGCTCCGCTAGTAGTTCCTAAGAGAGTGCCACAGACGCGGGCACACGAACAGACAACTGCTCGCAGAATAGCCCTCGCCAAGGCATGTCAGAAGGCATCTCTACGAACTGACTGGACCCAATTGCATACCGGCAGGCCCTATAATATAAACTATCGACTTGTGGGCACACAACCACCTGACGTTGACGGGACAATAGCCCAACTTCACACTGGCTCTTGCAACAGGTTAAACTCATACATGAGTACATGAGTCCTTATGTACAGCCCCTGTCGAAGTTGCGCACTTCCTGGGTCTTCCCTTAGCTAAACCAGACGACAACGCAGGTGGATGAGCCGACTCGAGCGGTGTTTATTAGCCGCTAAAACAACAACAACAACAAGGTTTGTTTAATTGGCAAAAATAAAACGTTGACAAACAATGGAAAGTCCCGTTATTTTCTAGTAAACAGTTTTAATATATGTATATACTCGTAAAAATATTTCGACTATAGTTTTCCCATAGTGAAGTTTCGCACTAAATCGGTTTTGGTGGTTGAAAAATTCAATAAAAATTTTTCGTTTTTAGCGACGGCTGTTTACGAATGCACCCTGTTTAACATCGCTTATTTAGCCGCATCAGTTTTAAGTGTCCCATTGCCTTGGAGATTTGGCATTCACATTATATTTGCAATTATTAGCTATTTCCAGTAAATTCTTTATGTTGTAACACAAAACATATTACTACAAACTTCCAGTTATTTAACTTATTGTGTTTGCAGGTCTCTTAAGAAACCTGAAAATATTACATAAATAAAAGTCATATTTTGCTGAATTTAAGTTAATAATAATCTGTAGCAAAGCATTTTTTATAAAATTTTCTTCTAACCACCCTATTCTTCTTGCAGTTCCTACTATAAATTTTAAGAGGTAACATAAAACAACAACAACGAAATGGCAAAACAGCTGCGCACACTTGGCTGGGACTACTTCATGTTCGTGGCCTTCGTTTTGATCACCGTCTTCGGTCCACTATGGAAACGGATTTTTGGAAAGAAAAAGCAACGTAGTAAGGCTGATTATGTCTTTGCCACAGGCGGCATATCAATTGTGGCAATTATGCTATCAATCGCACGCGGCACGCTGGGTGTGCGAACAGTGTTGGGTAAGTGTCAAGCAATTAAACCTCATTAGGGAGCCTATGTACATATGTATGTATGTAGGCGACAAAATAAAAGCGGTATTCTTTTCAAAGGGAAGAAGATGGTTGTAAAAAAATTAGTACTTGACTTTTAAGTGCTTTAACTAAGATATTGCCGGGTATCAGTGTTGGATAATGCATAAAAATTTGTATTTCTCTTAAAAAAGTAGAACCAAGGAGCATATTTCATACCTTTTATGTGTATTACACATTAACCAATACATACATATGTGTAAATGAAATCAGTGATGGGCAATATTTTATTTACTTAAAGCTCGGTACTAAATCAAGAACTGTGTATGTACTCAAGTATTTTAAATGTCAATAAATACCGAGTATGTTAAAATTTACATATGTACTACAAGTGTGTTTAATGTATTTACAGTATTTATTTTCACAGAACTAATTACTGGGTGTGAAAAGTATCAAGTTACTTTACCATGATTAATAATCCCCAAAACCCCGAAATTATCCCAAAATCCGGGAATAATACAGGAATATTCCGGAGAATATATGTAGATCCATAGTACCAAAAAGTAAAAAAAAACCCAAAGACATGACAAAATAACTATATAGAGAGCATTCCTTTTTATTGTCAATCTTTAACATAAAAAAGCAAATATTATCGATACAAATATGAAAACTACGGTGAGTGTAAGTATTTTTTTAGCCGAGTTAAAGTATTTAGGCCGTTTAGAGCTATCAAATCATAAAATGTCGTCTGCATGCTAGGCTTTGTGATGGTAATACCAAAGATACCAATCCCCTTAAGTTTAAAATAGTTCCAACCTGGTGAACGTGTAACCTTCTGGCCAGTCCCACACCTGGTTCTTAATAGGGATGTCGTAAGAACATCGATGCATCGATGAAGTATCGATGTTTTGCTTCGATGCATCGAAAATTTTCCACTCGATGTATAAATAGTCGATGCATCGAGACATCGATCAAGTACATGAACGGCCAAACATCGCTTTGTCTAAAGTTCATAGAGAGGAAGGTGCGATTTTATAGCGCATGCAATGTTAGTATAATAAAGTACAAGTTTCAATTGTTTTGATTTTTTAAATTTTTCTTTGGCTAACTTGCACTTTATTATACCCAAAAAGGTTCTTAATGTTTTATTTCCATAGTAGAAGAAACTACATCGATGTAAGTTTCGATGCATCGATGCGAGATAAACTGACATCCCTAGTTCTTAATATTTTCAACACAAATTCAGTAACCTGGCATTGATAAAATACTACTTCTCAGTACTGCAGCTAAGTACATCCAGAGGTATGCATCATGACACTTTTAGATTATATGGCAAATATTTTCTTTTAGTGCCATACCTCGGTAGCAAATTCCAGTCCTCTGCCATATACATATGTCCAATAACCTTTATTTTCCTCATAAGTATCAATCTGATTTCTATTATCTCCACACTAAGTTCCAGTAGTCTCACACAAATACCCTCAGAGATATTTATGCAGTGCGAAAATTCCAATTTCTATGGAAGGGGCCACCTCCTCCTTGATTAATACATTTTTTGTAGTATTTGACAATTTTTAGGAAGTCTGTAGTAAGTGTGCCAAATTGGGTTCTGATCGTGAATGTGGTTAAGGAAGTAGCCTATTTTACAATACGGGACATAAACCATCGGTGCTCGAAATTTCATTTTGACATCTCTATTGTAATGTTTGATTGAACTTATTAATTTATTTTAACTTTATTAAATCCGTTCGGTCGTTTCCGCACAAACAAACAAATTTTCAGTTATAATATTAGTCGGATTATTTCACTTCCTGAACCGTTAACCGAGCTTTAACCCCCAAAAAACGTAGCGATATATATTTTTTTATTTTTTTCCGATACAGAAACGCTGCTACGGCATCTAGACTGCATTTTTGCATCAAAAATATGTCGGTTACAGTTTTTCGGTGGTTTGGGCTCGATATGTAAATCTTAAGTTTATGTGTATTTAGTATACAAATAGGTACTTTGAATAAAAAAGTATTTAAGTATGCCCATCACTGATTAAGTAATTCCACTAAAATTCATTTACCCAATTTATTGAAGCAATTCTTATATAAAATGAGAGATTACCTTCTTTAGCCAAAATTTAAATTTTTATCAGCTGAAAACACCAATTATAGAACAGTTAGATATTGAACACGCACTGATACACAGTTACGCGCAGGTGCTTCATTATGTTGCACGAATTCAGAAGGAGAAGAGCTTCACAATACCACAGCAAGAACCGGCGAACTAGCCTCTGTGTATATACATATTTATTTATGTTAATCCGGTGATTTGTTGCGCTTACTGAGTCAAGCATCTTTTAAATAACTGAAATATATTTATGTAGGATTTGCATATAACTACATACATATTAACATAATTTTTTTGTGTCGCTCCTTCACTGCTGCTGAAGCAAACAATTTAAATTTAACCATAAAAAACAAAAACAAAAAAAACCTTCGGACGGTCTCTTGGAGAGATTACACGCACATTATGCAAATTGAATAACTTACCTGGCGCTCGGGTGGACTTTTTTAATTTTCAGTTTTGTTTACCCACGCAACACCCTTCCCGCTATTGTGAAAATTTAATATAATAAATTCACTGTTATTCATTTTTTTTTATTCTTTTAAGAACAACTTATGCAGTAAGTGCCACTGAGTGTGCTTGCATATTTTAATTATATACATATATATACATACATACATACATACATATATCCACATTTGCATGTATATACATTTTAAACGCTTATTACAGGTTACCCCAGTGAGCTGTTCTACCGCGGCTCGGCAATGTGGGAGATTATCTACGGCATGGTCAGTGCGTATCCCATTGTGTGCTTCGTTTTTGTGCCAGTTTATTTTAATTTGGGCATAACGTCCGTCTACCAGTACATAGATTTAAGGTAAGTGAAGGAATTGTTGTGAAAGTGATTTTTTTTTTGAACAATTAAATTTAATTGCTTATCATCAGCTGGAGCATAATCATTTCAATGTGAGCGAATGCGGCAACAGCTGCGGCCGTAATGGGAGGCATGCAAGCTCCTTACTACCTTTCGTTAAACACAAATTACTTAGCAATTGAAGACGAGTATTTAAATAGAATTTGTCGGAAGTGTGCAAATCAACATTTTTTTTTTTTTGCTGAAGGGTTAAATAACTAAAAGCTCTGTGTACATTTTTAGCGCTTAATATCAAATATGCGAAATTTTGAATTGTGTCACTTTTGAAGATCGTTTGCGATATTTACAACTTCTGAAACGCTTAGTCCATGGCAAGCAACCATGCCACCAACGCCTTTCCACTCACAACTAGTTGAGCCACAAAAAAAAGCCTTCGAATGTGCTGTCGACAGAGTTTTAATTAAGCGCAAGAAACGCTCGGACACTCACAGCTCCTGAACGAGCAGCATTGCTGAAAATAATAGCGTTCTACAGCGCGAACAACAAAAGTAAACAGTGAACTTCTGCAACAGCATTTAACAGAATTTTAAATTATTTAGTGCGTACACTCAAATATCATTAAGCCAGCTAGCAATTAGCAGCCCCATCGCTTGGCACTCCTCTGCGCGCGCAAGTCCTTTGCTCCAGTGCTGCTCTAATTCTGCATAGATTTTACATACTTGACTTCTTTGTGCGTTGGTGTTGGGCGCAATACTAAATATGTAAAATTGTAAAATTGTCACTAAATTGTTTTCGCATCGAAAATAAGTTAACAAATTTGTTCTCAAATGTTTGCGCGTTTAGTGTTTGCATATAGTACATACATACATACATACATATTCATTTAATTGTGTGCACACCACCACCACCACCACTCTGGTACAGTGGTTGTCATAACTGACGTCGACATCGTGCCATTTGGGAGTTTTGGAATTTAATTTAAATGGCAATATAGAATTTCTAGCATATTTTGCCAATTGGCTCTTATTCATTCAATTTAATTGCACACAGCTGTTGGTGAACAGCTCCTTAAATCGGTGTAAAAGCCCAGTACGCGAGCAAATGCCTTTGTGTTTGCTAGTAACAGTTGTGCTTTGCCATATCGCTTCTAGCGAGAAAGCCATGCAGTGATTTACGCCTCCTAAGCCCCACTCCCAGATATAGTGTAGCGGACTATGTATGAATTTCCTGGCTTCCTTTGTAAGGTTGTTTGTTTTCATTTCTGTTAAAAACGGCAAATTAAGTAACCCTGCAAACCATTTTTACAGAGTATTCTGAATCGTAAAGAATTTTTAAAGAATTCGGAAAGATCCCATCCGATTTTTTGCCGAATTTTCTAAAATGAAATAAATTACGCACACTTCCATTCTTTTACGAAATTTCGGAAAAAAATCGGTAAAGAAATGAAAATAATGCTGCTATGTGAAGAATTTCTTGCAGACTTTTTTCAGAATTTTCTTTATTTTTCGTACAGAAATTTCTTTACGAGTTCGTGTCAACCACTTCATATAATTTTCTTTGAAGATTCGGAAAAAAATCGTTACAGAAATCAGATACTCCTAAAGATTTCGTTAAGATTTCGGGAACTTTGGTTTGCAGGGAATGTATAAAAAGTGGTTTGGTGTTTGCTAGCAACTTTCAATCTAAAGTATTTTCAATACTCTGCCTTAAAAGTTGTGAAAAGTGACATTCCTTTTGTTCCACAAATTTTTTGTAATTTTTGATGCCTACTGAAAATTCAGCATAATACGCATAACTAATATTGAGAAGGTCTGGAAACGTTGCCGCTGATTGTTAGCCGATTTCTATATACTAATAATATACATGTCGGTTTTGTTTTTGCTTAAAAATTACTTGTGCATATAATAAGAAGCTACAATTGAAACAAATTTCCAGACTTTCAGAATTCGGAAATGATTCACATGGATCGGCGTCCGAAGATAGAGGCATCCTAAATTTTGCATGAGCACTTAGTAGTAAAAAAAGTCTGCAGTCGTTAGATTCCACGTAATTTGACCGGAGCTCAAAAAGAGGCTGGTGTAGGCTGGTACAAAGAAATGCTCAAAAAATAATTTGTGCTGCTTCTGAAAACGATTGGAGTATTGTAACAGGTGACGAAACTTGGATTTACGCATATAAGCCCGAAACAAAACAACAATTTACTGTTCGAGTGTTTCAAAAATAAGCAAAATCAAAACAAATTACATGACAACCTGATAAAGAGGTAAAGTTTGAACACCCACATTGGACCGTGTGAATAAAAAATAAGCAATTGCGTTCTTTTAAAAATTCAGATCTTTTACTCGATTTAATCAAACAAAATTGAAGTAAAAGGTATGAAATTTAAAGAAAAAGCAATTGCCTAGTTTTTATTCATATAGTCCATTAAAGCTTTTTATTAATAAAAAGTGTATTTTTATGTTCTCGTATTTATCTGTTTAACTAGTTGTTGTTGGCATATGCCCGACTCATTCAATAGCATGTTGAATATAAACTTATCATGGAACTCATTTCTGGCACATCTTCCATGAATCAGATCTGTGAAAGTAAAGTGTAAATTTACTTCCATGAACCCAAAATGTATCGAGGGTAGTAAGATATCGACGTATCTTCCATGGAACTTATGTCCAAGGAAATCTTGACAAAACCCCACATTGTCCACAGTGCCAAATCTGTGAGCTCTTATTGCTATTGGCAGAGCATCACAGCTGTGCGCTAATTGATATGCCAACCAAGTTTACGCAATGCCCGGCATATTGACAAAACACCTTTCGCCGTGTACTTATATAGATAAATGCTGATTAAGTGCACCTCATCAATATTGGCATACATATTTACATAAGCATGTAATATTTAATTACATACATACATACATACATATGTACTTATATTTACAGCTGTATTGTTAAAAAAAAGGGAAACAACCCTAATCGAATGCGTTTAATGCCTCCTATGTGGGGGGCGGGGGGAGGGGGGAGAAAATCGTGTTCCTTACGCACTCAGCTGATGGTGAGCAATCAATCAAGTGGCACACGCCTACAACGTCGCTAAGTATTTGGCAGCTGAGCAGTAAAAGCATACTCTCAATTACTCCATTCAATTCGCCTCATTCGCAACAACCTCCCCTCCCACACATTCCCGTGTTATTTATTATTAATATACATATCTCTGTTAGCTGCAAAAATATTCAATTATATGCGCTTAAATTGACATTAAGGGCTTAAAGCGTCAATTTCCGCACTCGTTTCGCGCTTCACTTCCGTGCTGTAGGCCTAAATGGTTTTCCGATCAATGAGTCGCACGCAACAAACACACACAAACGCACACCACACATATGTAGGTACACCAGTGAATATATATATATTTGTGCTTGAGTGCTTGGGGTGATTTCAATTTGGTTGCACTTTTGTTTATTTGTCGACAACAAAATCGTTTGGAGCACATTTGCTCATTCTGCTACATACATATATGTGGATGTAGTAGTATTCGTTGGTGCTCATAAATATATATTTAGATTTATGCCGATGCACATTGAATGTAGAATTAGCGCCGTAAGCTTTTAAATGCCTATACATGATTAACTTCGGTGGTATTTGCATGTGTTCATATGTGTACATACGCAGCAAAAAATACGATTACCACAGAAAATGAAATGGAATCGAATTAGGCGATGGGAATCGCTTACACTTTCACTTCAAGAAGTCATTATTTTAACGTGGCGATGTCAATGGCCGTAAGCCCTTACTAATGCTGCGGGCATTACCTTCGAACGAAGGCAGATCGNGCCGTAAGCCCTTACTAATGCTGCGGGCATTACCTTCGAACGAAGGCAGAACGCATGGATAACAAGTAAGAAAGTCTAAGTTCGGGCGGAGCCGAAC